CTCTGACCAGTTGTTGCTTTGCAGCAAGATTGAGAGCCAGCATGGTTAGAATATCTGACTTTTTTCATATGAAGCCACAAATCCATATTTGATGTGAACTTTCTTATTTTTTAGTATGAGCAACTAATTCAAAAATGTGTAAATACCATGGTTCAAATTCAGCCTCCAGTTTGCTGGTTTGCAATCTCTGGAATATATCAGATGCTGGACTTTGGGATTTTGAGTCAGAAAACCTGTGTCCTAATCCTGCCTTTGCTACTTAGTAAATTCAGTTAAAAACTTGGGAAAGCAGTCTTGTTTCACTAATCTAAAATGTTGTCATAGTAATTTCTTCACCACGTTGTTTATTTTTCTCAAGATTTTGTTACCAAAGTGTTCAAACATAAAGAAAAGTTTAAAGAATTTTACAATGAGCATCCATACACTCTCCACCTAGATTGCACCATTCACATTTTCCTACACTCTCTCCACAGCATACCTATCCATCTACTCAATCGCCAATCCCTTGCTTTTTAAATTTGTTTCAAAGTAGTTGCAGGCATGGGTATACATCCTTCACTGGTTGCTTTGAGGAACAGATGTTTCGGTGCACATAAAGCATCAAGCACAATATCTAGCACACAGGCAAATGCTACAGTCACAATTGCCCCCTCCCTTCATCTATATTACTATCTATAGCTTGAATATTGTTGGAATCACTAAGAATGTGTGCACATTCATACTGGGGAAAACAGGGAGATTTCTAACAGAGATTTTCATCAAAATCCTGTTGCCTCCTACCTTCAAAATGTGTCCAGGACCTGGACTTCTGCTTTCAGCCGAAATAGAGTACTCCTGTTCTTCTCTAATCTTCCTCCTTATTTAAAAAACAGCAACAACAAATAAACAAACAAAAAGCCTTGGACATGATAAAATGAACAAATGTGGAAAGATTCTAAAAGTTGGAAGGAAAGCAGCAGATTGGATAAGAAAGTAGCAACACTGCAGTGAGCTCCCTGGACTTTCTTGTTGCTTCCTTTATATTCTGGATGGGGCACTGCAGAGCCTGCAGCCTGGAACTGCCAAGAGTCACAGAACAAAAATAAAGCCCTGAGTAAAGCCTGTTCCCTCTAGACAAAAGACTGGGGAAACGGCGTACTAATAAATAGAACAGGAAACTTTTGATAATACTGGCCCTATGCTAAACAAACATCAAAGGAAAAACTGTCCCCTCACCTCTGTGGTGTCAGTGGGCTGTGCAGAGATCGGGACTCCGGCCCTACCAGGATGCCAGGAGAGGCATTTATAAGACGACCCTCAACTTTTTCCACCAGGATGCTGTCAGTAGGCAGAACAGGAGCTGAAAATCCACCCCCAGATGGCAGCAAATAGGCAAAATAAGGTGGCATGAGATAATGCTAGTTGATGTTCCACTTTTCAGTACAGAGCTGAACTTCCTCCCTCATGGAGACAAGGAGGCAGAACAGGTAGATCAAGGCGGTTCTAGTCAGCACCCCATTTTCTCTCCCCTATTGGTGTCAGTGAGTCCAAAGGGGAGCTGAGCTTCTACCCCCACCCAGTGGCAATGAAGTAGAATAAGTGAAATGCTCCACTTCCTACCCTCCCTGTTGTCACCAGGGCCAAGTGGAGAATTGAACTCCGATGCCCACCCAGCTGCAATAAGATGGTGTGTGCTACTTTTTCTGAGGAGGTATCACCAGGTTCAAGTGGGGAGCTGAATATCCATGCCACCTGGATCTACATGCTATAGTTAAACAGACTGACTACCTGAAAGAAAGATTACATAGGATTGAATATCTCGCCACTTAACACCCAAAGTGTCCAGGATACAATAGAAAATCACTTGTCACACCAAGAACCAGGAAAATCTCAACTTGAATGAGAAAAGACAATTAACAAGTGCCAACACTGAGATGACACAGATGTTGGAATTATCTGATGAGGACTTTAAAGCAACCATCATTGCTTCAATGGGCAATTACAAACACAGTTGAAATAAATGGGAAAAAAAAGAAAGGAAGGAAGTTAGTTTCAGCAAAGAAATTGAAAATATAAAGAAGAACCAAATGGAAATTTTAAAGCTGAAAAATGTAATAACTGAAATAAAAAACTCACTGGATGGGCTCAATAGTAGAATGAATATGACAGAAGAAATAATCAGTGAATGTGAAGATAGGAAAACATGAACCCTTGAAAAGCAGAGAATTAAATCCAGCGAGTTGCAAAAGAGGAAATCAGAGAGATTCCAAATGTGAAAAGGATTCAATGTGCCATTACTGACTGGAAGATAGAAGGAGCTATGTGACAAGAAATGAGGGTGGTCTCTAGAAGTTGAGAGAGGACCCCGGCTAATGGCCAACAAGGAAACGGGTACCTCAGTCTTTGTGATGGTAAATTTTATGTGTCAATTTGACTGGGCATGGGGTGCCCAGATATTTGGTTAAACATTATTCTGGGTGTGTCTATGAGGATGTCTCTGGCTGAGATTAACATTTGAGTCAATAGACAATAGAGTAAAGCAGGTTGCCTGATCCAGGGTGTCTGGGCCTCATCCAATCCACAGAAGGACTGAATAGAACAAAAAAAAACAGAGTAAGGGAGAATTCAGTCCCTCTTTCTGTCTTCAAGCTCAGACATCAGTGTTCTCCTGCCTTCAGACTCAGACTCAGCCTGAGACTATACCATTGGCTCTCCTGGGTCTCCAGCTTGCCAACTGCAGATCCTGGGACTCAATCCATACACACACACAGATACACCCACACACAATTCATACACATACACACACACATACATACATACATACATATATGAATCAATAATAGAACCAATAGCATATATATGTGAGATATATAGGTCCTATTAGTTCTATTTCTCTGGAAGAATTCTGACAGCCCTACAACCAAAAGAAACTGAATTCTGCCAACAACTTAAATGAACTTAGAAACAGATTTTTGTCACAGAACTTCCCAGTAAAGCTCAGCCTGACTGACACCTTGACATCAGCCTGTGAGATCCTAGACAAACTAGTCAAGCTCACACAGACTCTGACCTACAGAAGTGTAAGGTAAAAAAGGTTGTTGTTTTAAGGTGCAAAATTTGTGGTAATTTGTGACTCAGCAATAAAAATCTTCGTCTGGCTTCATCTTTTACCAATCTCCTCCCCTCATTCACTCAGTCCTGTCGCACTGGCCTCCTAGTTCTTCCTTGACAACACCAGGCACTCTCCCACTTCAGGGTCTCTGTATTGGCTGCTGCCTCTGGCTGCAGTGCTCTTCCTGCTCTTTCTTTAGATATCCTCTTGACTAGTTTCCTCTCCTTCTCAGTCTTTTCTCAAATGTCACCTTCTAATGAATCCTACCCAGGCCGACCCCTGCCACAACCTATCCCTCTTACACTGCTCTGCTTTTTCTTTTTTCCTCCAAAATACCTACTGCCTTATAACATACTGTATAATGAACTTATTTATTTCACTTATTGCTTATTAGTTGTCTGCCCTCATTAGAATGTAAGCCCATGAGGGCAGAGATATTTGTTTTGTTTGCAAACATTCTGTGCACCAGGAACAGTTCCTGGCACACTGGGTGCTTACAAAGTATTTGTAGAATAAAATGAATAACGTCTATGTCAATTTACCTCTGACTTAATGCATCGCCGCGTAACATATCATCTACTGTTCAAGCTGTGATATGCATTTTACACATTTCCTCATAAAAAGGCTAAACATAGATATAATGCATTGCTTTATGCAAGAAAATGTGATGACAAATAGCAAACTCTTTGTGTGAACATTATTATAAAAAGATATTGGATGGCCCTTTACCATACTTACGTCATTAAGAGCAGGAAAATAGAAGAGGAGCTTCAGTGGCTGAAAATGAGATGTTTGGGAGAGGAGGTGGGTGACACCTTGATCAAACCTGAGGCTTGCAGAACACATTTTTAAAAACTGTTGATGTATAAAATTGAACTAGATGTCTATTAAGCCCCCTTACAGTTCTATAATTCTATAATTTTCTGGCCTCTACACAAATTCAGATAACTGGTGGCTCCAGATTTGATCTCTTACCTTTTTATTGATGACCCTCAAATCTACATTTGTAGTCCTCTCTGGGGACCCAAATTTCTATCCTTTTGTCTCAAGCTGCTTTCTTATCATCTCCACATGATATCCCACCATTACCCGGAAGTGAGTATGTCAAAATCATATTCATCCTTATGGCTCTGGATTCCACTCTCTTCTCCTTTTGCTAGTTACTTAGATGCTGTCTCGCCTCCTTCTCCAGCGCCTGAGTCCATCTCTGGACCCAGTGCTTCTTCCTTCAGATTTTCTCTCTCATCGCCCTTTCTTTCCATTCTCACTGCTTTGCCCTTATTCAGGCTGTCGCTTCTCCACACCCAAATTATTTGGACAACGTTCTGAGTAGTTTTCCTGTCTCCCATCATGTCTTTGTCTCCCTCTCCGTCAACCCTACATATGACCATTTTTTTAATTTTCCTAAAATAGATTGAAATATTCTTAATGCTTCAGAATCTTTCAATGAGTCCCTAATGCCTATAGAGCAAATTTCAATTAACAGTCAAACAAACAACAAGCCCACAGGCTGGCATATAAGATCTTCCAAGATCTGGCCATTCCATCTAGTCTCCTGTCCCCAAAGTCCCTCCCTCTTTTGGATACATTCATGCTACTGAGTACTAATGTGGTTCTCAATATAAGAGTAGAAGTTTTAAACAAAGGAAAAGTAGAAGTAAGTCTCGCCTTAGAAAATGTTTTAGAATTAAGGAATGATTTTGCATGGCATTTTGGTGGCTGTTACAGAGAGGAACTCAGACATCTCCCCTGATATTAGCCTCTTTACTGAAGTGAAAATTTATCTGACTTTGGGAAGCCATTTTCATAGGTAGTGAATTGCTGGTATCATAAATCCCAGTGAAAGTAAAAGCAAACTAAATCTTGAGTGGGTCACCTTGTGAGCGGTGTTCTCCATTTGTTTCTGCAGAGAGCCCCGCAAGGTGGTCCTGCACAAAGGCTCCACTGGCCTGGGCTTCAATATTGTGGGCGGAGAAGATGGAGAAGGTATTTTTGTATCCTTTATTCTGGCTGGCGGACCAGCAGACCTAAGTGGGGAACTCCAGAGAGGAGACCAGATCCTATCGGTGAGTGTTTTTCTTTAATCTTCATTCCCTCATGTCTGACACCATCCATGAAAATGTCATTCTAAATTATGACTCCAAAAGCACTTCAGTTACAAAAGAAAAATGGATGAGAGCATTATGCTTCAGATGCATGTTATGGTTCAAATGGTGTTCAGGTACTTGATGGTTGTTACCCTAACTTCCCTCAGGTAAAGGTGAAGGTGCTAGTGTTTTCTTTTAGATTTTCTGAGGCATGTTGGCATCCAACAGTCCTTTGAGAAGCTTGCCTTTTTTAAATGGTATATTACTTAGTTTATAAAAATACAGATTTTTTTCCCCCAGAGTCATGACCATACTTTAAAAACTGTACCTTTCTAATGTGTATAGTTTGGTGCATATAACTATGTAAGAAAATGCATAAGATAATTCTATACACAGTTTGCTGATGGTGGTAAGTGGGAGCAGTGGCACCATTTACCTAAGTTCAAGAATTACCAATAACAATTTATTAATCACCTATTGTTTATCAAGCATTTTATAGAAGTAATGTTTAAGACCACTTTGTTGAGGGATGATTGACACACAAAAGGTGTACATATCGGTAAGTGGGAGCAGTGGCACCATTTACCTAAGTTCAAGAATTACCAATAACAATTTATTAAGCACCTATTGTTTATCAAGCATTTTATAGAAGTAATGTTTAAGACCACTTTGTTGAGGGATGATTGACACACAAAAGGTGTACATATTTAATGTATACAACTTGATGAGACTGGAGATATGTATACACCCATAAAAACATCACCACAATCGATGTCATAAATGTATCCATCACCTCCAAAAGTTTCTTCCCACCCTCTTTATTTATTATTTTATGTGTGGGTAATAACAATTACATAAGGTTGACCCTATTAGCAAATTTTAAGTATACAATATGGTATCATTAACTATAGGTACTACACTGTACAGTAGATCTCTGGGATTTATTCATCTTGCATAACTATAAAAGTAATTTTTAATTGTCACAATCACTGTAAAAAGTAGATGTATCCATTTAAATATTACCAGGATCACATAGTAAGTAAGGCAATCAATCAGAATCATAGTCTTAGAAATTACAATTCACAGAACCTAACAATTTTCGAAGTTCAGATACCATATCCTTTTTTATGTATAACATTTGCAAGGACATTCAATGATGAAAATATTATCTGATTTTTGCAATTAAAAGGAAAGCAGGAGCATTTCTCCTTTTTATTTGGCTAAAACTAATTTTTATTTGGCTAGAAAGTGACTCATTGCAAAGCTTAGTATTGTAATTTCTTTGGTTAACACTGAGAGAAAAGAATAAACAGGTTTGACAAGCTCAGGCATTACAATTAGGGAAGAAAAATGTCAGAATAGAATTATTAGCAATGGAATTGGGCTATAATATTTTGCATCTACAGCATGCACTGGACATAGAAGGACAAGCTACGCCTTCCTAGAAAACACAAAACAAAAACTCTAAATAGAAATCAAGACCTAAATAAAAATTCAATATACATCACTAGGTTATAAAAGATTAATTTGCAAATAAGTCATGCTGACAGTGATGTAGTAAGTTTAGAGAAGAAAAATAGAATCCCCAGGCAAGGGGGCTGAGGGTACGTTGCTCCTCTCAATAGATCTTCATAGAGGAGAGACTCATGTAATAGGCAAGTACCTTTGTAATCGGGGGCAGAATGTTTATTCTTATTTTCCATAATTATTCTCGCACATAGACTATAGAATATTCCTAGATAATTTATTTATTAGTTGCTTACTATGTGCCAGGTATCATATATACATGAATACCTATATGTACACATATATATGTATGTGTGTGTGTGTGTGTGTGTGTGTGTGTGTATGGCACAGTGAGGAAAGAGAGGAGGTAGTAACACTTAAAATAAAGCATATCATATTGTAAGCAATGAGTGTTACTACGACTATTAACAAGTCTACTTTAAGAATGTATCTTATATTTTTTTGA